GCCGGGCCGCGGCCCCCTCCGCGCCGCTATCGTACCCCCCCCAACAGCCCCAGCCGCCGGCCGCGCCCCGCAACGTGCGCACGGCGCCGGCGCCGGGCACGAGCAACAATGGGGGCGACTGGAGAGAGACGTTGGTGCTGCCGGCCAAGGACGAGCGGGTCCAGACGGCCGACGTGACCGCCACCAAGGGAAACGACTTTGAGGATTACTTCCTCAAGCGCGAGCTCCTCATGGGCATTTTCGAGGCCGGGTTTGAGCGGCCCTCGCCGATCCAAGAGGAGAGCATACCCATCGCCCTCGCGGGGCGGGACGTGCTCGCGCGCGCGAAAAACGGGACGGGCAAGACGGCCGCCTTTGTGATTCCCATCCTCGAGAAGGCCGACTCCTCCAAGAACCACATCCAGTCCATCATCCTCGTCCCGACGCGCGAGCTCGCGCTCCAGACGTCGCAGGTCTGCCGCGACCTCGGCAAGCACCTCCACCTCGAGATCATGGTCTCGACGGGCGGCTCGTCGCTGCAAGAGGACATCCTCCGGCTCATGAAGCCGGTGCACCTCATGATCTCCACGCCCGGCCGCATCCTCGACATGGCCGAGAAGAACGTGGCCGACCTGACGCGCTGCGGCACCGTTGCCCTCGACGAGGCGGACAAGCTCCTCTCGCCAGAGTTCATGCCGCTCGTCGAGAAGCTGATCCGGCGGATGCCGCCCGGGCGGCAGATCCTGCTCTTCTCCGCGACCTTCCCCGTCAAGGTCGCCTCCTTCCGCGACCGCGTCATGAACAAGCCGTACGAGATCAACCTGATGGACGAGCTGACGCTGCACGGCGTGACGCAGTACTACGCGTTCGTCGAGGAGAAGCAGAAGGTGCACTGCCTCAACACGCTCTTCGCCAAGCTCTCGATCAACCAGTCCATCATCTTCTGCAACTCGACCACGCGCGTCGAGCTCCTCGCCAAGAAGATCACCGAGCTCGGCTTCTCGTGCTACTACATCCACGCTAAGATGGTCCAGCAGGCGCGCACCACCGCCCCTC